AACAAAATCACAACTAACTGCTGAACAATCATTGATAACAAAGACTGGAACCTACCAAAACAGATCTTCTATATCTAAAGACATAAAGAAGGAACCACAATGAGACATTAGGAGGGGCACAAACAAGATGTAATCAAATCATGTATCCCCTGAGTGGGCAACCCACAGACTGGAGAATAACTATACTGCAGATGTTCCCCCAGAGGAGCGAGAGTTCTGAGCCCCACGCTAGGCTTCCCAGACCAGGGGTTCATCAGCAGGAAGAGGAGCCCCCAGAACATCTGGCTTTGATGGCCAGTGGGGCATAACTGCAGAGCTCCACAGGACTGGAGGGTCTTCACTCTTAAAGGGTGCACACAAAATCTCATGTGCACCAGGACCAAGGGCCAAAGCAGTAACTTCATAGGCACCTGGGCCAGACCTACCTGCTGGTCTTGGAGCATCTCCTTGGGAGGTGAGGGGCAGCTGTGGTGGGGACATAAAAGCTGCTGGCGGACATAACAGGGAGTATTCATCTGCATGAACTCTCCCTGAGGCTAGCATCTTGCTTGGGTCATTAGCACCAAAACCTGGCCCCAGCCAACAGCCTGTAACCACCAGTGAAACAACTAACTGGGTGAGGACACAGTCCCCCTCATGAGGAGACAGGCTGCCTAAAGACTTCCTGAGCCCACAGCCCCTCTAGACAAGCCCCTAGACACAGCCCTTCCCACCAGAGGGGCAGGATCCAGCTCTACACACCAGTCGGCAGGCACCGGCCTCTCCCACCAGGAAGCCTGCTCAAGCCTCTAGACCAGCCTCACCCACCAAAGGGCAGACACCAGAAGCAAGAAAACTATGATCCTGCAGCCTGTGGAACGAGTACACTAACACAGGCCAGATTCTACCCTGGGACCAACTGGCCCTTGAGTGAAGAGAAGGGAGTGCACTTCTGGGATGCACAGGACGTCTCCTACAGAGGCCACTTCTCCAAGGCCAAGGAACATAACCAACCTACCACATACATAAAAATATAAGTAGAATTTAGACAAAATGAGGCGGCCGAAGAATATGTTTCAGACAAAGAAAGAAAATAAAATCCTCAAAGAGGAACTAAGTCATGTAGAGACAGGCAATCTACCTGAGAAGGAGTTCAGAATAATGATCATAAGGAGGAGGGCGGATGCACAGAGGGAGAAGTTAGAAGTCTTTAACAGAGTTAAAAAATACAAAGAACAACAAAACAGAGTTGAAGAATACAATAACTGAAATAAAAAATACACTTGAATGAACCAATAGTAGACTAAACGATGAAGAACAAATCAGTGAGCTGGAAGACACGGTAGTGGAAATCACTACCCACGGAAAAGAAAAAATAAAAAAGAATGAAAAGAAATGAGGACAGCTTTGGAGAACATTCCAAAAAGAACACTCCGACATAAATCACAGCAATATTTTTTTCAAACCAGCTCCTAGCGTAATGGAAATACAAGCAAAAATAAGCAAATGGGACCTAATTAAACTTAAAAGCTTTTGCATAGCAAAGGAAACTATAAACAAAACCAAACCAAAAAGACAACCTACTGACTGGGAGAAAATATTTGCAAATGATGAGAACAACAAGGGATTAATTTTTAGAATATACGAATAGCTCCTACAGCTTAAAAAAAAAAACCCAATCAAAAAATGGACAGAAGATCTAAATAGACATTTCTCCAAGGAAGACATACAGATGGCCAACAGGTACATGAAAAGATGCTCACTATTGCTCATTATTAGAGAAATGCAAATCAAAACTATAATGAGGTATCACCTTATAGCAGTGAGAATGGCCATCATTAAAATGTCTCCAAATAAGAAATGCTGGAGCGGGTGTGGAGAAAAACGGACCCTCCTACACTGTTGGTGGGAATGTAAACTAGTGCAGCCACTGTGGAAAACAGTACGGAGGTTCCTTAAAAAAACTAAAGTTACCATATGATCCAGTAATCTCAGTCCTGGGCATATATGTTGGGAGAAAACTCTTAACTCGAAAAGGTATGTGCATACTGAGTTCATAGCAGCACTATTTACAATAGCCAAGACATGGAGACAACCTAAATGTCCATCGACAGATGACTGGATAAAGAAGCTGTGGTATATTTATACAATGGAATATTACTCAGCCATAAAAAGAATAAAATAATGTCATTTGCAGCAACATGGATGGATTTAAAGATTATCATTCTAAGCAAGGTTAAGTCAGACAGAGAAAGATAAATATTATATGGTATCACTTATATGTGGAATCAAAAAAAAAAGACACAAATGAAGTTATTTACAAACTGGAAATAACAGTCATGGACATAGAAAACAAACTACGGTTACCAAAGCGGAAAGGTAGGGGAATGGGATAAATTAGGAGTTTGGAATTAACAGATACACACTATTATATATAAAATAGATAAACACAATGACCTACTGAATAGCACAGGGAACTATATTCAATATCTTCTAATAACCTATAATGGAAAAGAATCTGAAAAAGAATACACACACGCACACACATAAAACCGAATCACTTTGTTGTACACCTGAAACTAACACAACATTGTAAATCAACTATACTTCAATAAAAATAAGAGTTTGGATTTAATTGTAATCTATTTTACATTTCAAATGCAGAATCAAATTTCAGTATCTTTTGCCCTAATTGGGAGAGAATGGATTTAGTAAGTTTTTCTTTGTGGCTAGGGATGCTAAGATAGCTGACAGGTACTCCTGCAAGAGGGACCGGCTGTCCTCATTCCATGCTGCCAGGTTCAAGATGTGCCCATCGCATTGATCATTTTTCCTGCAAACTAATTCCACTAATACTTTGGCCCAAGGAGTGAAATTGAATATGCCATTGTCTTTTCTAGCTTCCTATTATGGCTGCATGACAAATTACCGCTAAACTGTCACTTAAAACAACATACGTTATCTTCAGTTTCTGAGTCAGTAATCTAGGTGTGGCTCAAGGTCCCTCACAAGCTACAATCAAGCTGTTATCTGTGGTTATCTCAAGACTCTAGGTGGGGGGAGGACCCCCTTCCCAATCTGCTCATGTGTTGCTGGCAGGATTCAGTTATTTGAAGGTTTTTGGACTTGGGGCCTCTGTACCATATTAGCTGTAGGCTGGAAATACCGGTTTCTTGTTACAGGGGCCTCTCAATAGAGCATCGCAGAACGCGGCCACTGGCTTCCATCAGAGCAGGAAGGCACCCGAGTACTAGTGGGCAAGCAAAATAGAAAACAGAGTCCTTCTGTCACCTAATCTCAGAAGAGACGTGTCACTTTGGCCATATTCAGTGTTCATAATAAGCAGGGGTCCAGCCCACACTCAAGGGCAGGGCTGGTATGGGGCTGTGAATATCAGAGGGCAGGAGTTGCTGGGAGTCGTCTTCAAAGCCTCCTACCACAAGCTTTATTCTTTTTTTTTATATTAAAAACTAATGACTGAGGAAGTAAGATCGCATTAAGACCATGAATGTTAAAGGTAGGGGCCGTGCATTTGAGTCAGTTGCAACAAGATCACGGTCTGCTAGTTGTGCACATTTTGAGAGCTCAGTTGTCTTCTGCAGTGTTAACACCTAACAGATTGATAAAATAACTCAAAAGGTATAGCAGGAACTCCCCTATGATTCACATCTTTTGGTTCAAAATTTGTGAATACTTCACCAAAACACCATTTAACAGGACAGTCACCAACAGAAGAACAAAACTAGATTTGGAAAGCATGGCTCAACACCTAGATTTTTGATGGAAATTCCTCTTGGCAATCAGCAGGTACTCAAAATGTTTCAATGAAGAATGTACCAGCTCCGTGGCCCGGTGGCACCAGATGTTAGAGTATGACAGAGCTTGGAAGGTGAGAGCATGTTCAGATAAAAGCCATTTCTTGATCCTAAATAACACAAGAAGTAAAACTACTCTGTAACTATTTGTGGAGACAGACCAGTGGTAGTTACCTTTCATCCCTTCTCTTTTTTGCTTCTTGATCTGTGTGATTGTAAAGCAAGTTTTTGCCTTCCTTTGCTTTCTCATCGGGGTACACCTTTCATGAGATCTACTCCTAAGCTGTGGCTGTGACCGACGCATTCTGCACCTCAAAAAGACAGTGTGTTCTGACAGTCTCTCTGTTGAAGGCCTCACAGCCACTCCAGTCACCTGAGGCAGCTCCTGGATCCTGCAGGCAACCTAAGGCTAAGTGTATCTTTTTTCTTCAAGTTCTTCACTTGAAGATTTATTTAAAAATTTTTTTTATTTTAGTACAGTCAATTACAATGTGTCAATTTCTGGTGTACAGCACAATGTCCCAGTCATGCATATACATACATATATTCGTTTTCATTTGAAGATTAGTTTGAAAACTTAAAATGGTCTAAAAGCCTGAGGATGCTTTTATTTTTATCATAACTATGACTATTTCACTTTGTAAGCAACTGGACAGAAAATGCCAACTTTGCCCTGGAAGGAAATTAAGATTCTTTGCCAATTCTAAAGACTTTAGAAATTTCAATAAGCAAGGAAATCAAAACACGAGTTTTATTTCCAGTTCAAGGGTCAACTTCTTTACCGTAAAGTATCAATTTCAGGATTAAACACATGAAAAGTCTGGACGTTCGTCTCTAAAAGAAAAATCATTGCTTCAAAAAATATACTCAAGAATGTACATAATAAATGTGCACCCCAGTCATTAATTTCCTGGACTTTTGTAGCCATTAAACCAATCACAGAAATATATGGAAAAGTTGCCAAAGAAAAGCAAATTCAGAATGATGAATCTGCTGTTAGTAGAAGTATATAAAACATGGATAACTGATTTTGCAGAAAGCTAAAATGATATGCGAGGTCAACTTGTCATTTTAATGGCTCAGAACTCAAATCATTCTCCAAACTCAAGAGATACAGCACACAAGTGTTTAATTTCTAGAGTATACATTGTTTCCTTTAGATTTCAAAAAGATCACAAAAGCCAAACACTGAAAGTTCTTTCTGTCTAGTGTCAAGGCTACAAATTGTTAACAAACATGGTTTATTAAGAATTCACAGTAATTGTCTCACAGAGTTTGCAGGTGCCAAGAAATTATGGCAACAAAATTGTAGAATAACAAAGTAAAATATAATGCTTTGAAAAAGAATTATTATAGAATAAATTACATTTTAAATGAGAGTGATTAATAAGCTTTCGTGAAACATCTGGGTTGCTGTTTAGAAGACAGCTTTCCAAACACGTAGCTGGCTAAAGCGGGAGACAGCAGGAAGCAAGGAAGGGGCGCTGGACTAGCTCTGAGACGTGGGCGCTCACTTCTCCTCTCTGGGCTTCAGTCTTGTCATTAATAAAACTGGACCAGATCATCTTTCTTGAATCTTAACCCCCCCCCCCCCAAATCCCAAGGTTCCTTCTTATTATGAACAACATAGCAGACTCCATTTCGCAAGAGAGCATACTCTTCTCTGGCTGGAAACTACTCCTGTAATCACAACTAGGCTTTTCCTGTCCTGCCTCATCAGCTGAGGCGCTCCTGAAACAAGGAGGTATCCTCATCAGACAACAGCAGAGCTATAAAGACGTTCAGAAGACATTTAGGAGGTTCTTTTAATGCCTAATCATCATCTGAAACATGACAAAGACACTGACAAAAGCTGTTAAGTCAAAGGAATGTTTTTGATCTCTTTGTGGTTTGAAATGTGGGAAAATCCTTTGCTTTTTGTTAAACCTTTGGAGTGAGTGTTTCCCTTCACAAAAGGTACATAGCACTTCACTCATAATAGTGCTTTTGATGTTGGGATTAGAGGTTTCCTGCCATGTGACGGCACCTGGGGGTTGACATCTTGTGTTAATTTTGGCATCAGGGATGTCACAGAGGGACAGTGATGATGACAGTCCTGCACAGGTGGACTTAATGCTGCTCCTGAATTGAAGATCTTCCTCTAGATCTACCTTTTTTCGCTCTGTGTTTAACACTGGGTACTATACTCTCTGTGAAGGGTGAAATAATTTCCACAAGATGGCTAAATTTTATCTTAAATTACTAAATTTATGGCTTTCACATTAGTAAACAATTTGCAAAGTTTTCACACTGACCTCAAAGATGAGAGAATATATACAATTAGCATTATGCTGGTAACAATGCCTGAAGTTTGTTGTTTCATTCTCTTCTCCTATAGCACACTGCCAAACGTTCAATTAAGAGATAAAGGAGATCTGACACCCATCAAGGGTTCAGCGAAGGCATATCCTATGCGGCAGTCCCAGGCTGGCTTAGCTGTCGATCACCTGGATCTTTAGCTCTACCCCGGCAGATAAACTGATCAGAAACCAGTGTTCTAACATCACACTAAGATGTACCTTCATTGGGTTAAGATTTATTATTATGACCTTCCTTTGTATTTTGCATTTTCTTTACATTCACGGAGATGTCCAATGTAATCCTCTCTTTAGTTTAAGAAAAAACCAGCCTCTTGTGACAAGTTTTTGAATTTTCTGTTTTGAAATACAAAACCATTTGTTTTAGCAGCAAGAAAATTTAGAACCAAATTTGTTGTCCAACTTGCTCAGTTGCCTGAAACCATGTACTTCTGTGCTGTTTTAATGTTAAATGTCTTCTTTAAAGGCTTTACATTTTGTAGGCCTCTTCACGCCCTTTTAAAAGAAAGTAGGATACAAATTTCAAAAATAAAAATAAAAACAAGTGGCCAGTTAAGCATATTGTATTATTTTCTACTATAATCTAGATGTTAGAGATGGATTTAACAGTTGTCTTTATAACAGATATGATTTTACATAGAAGATATGGTAATTTTCCTTTCATTATCATGAAGAATGAGATCACAATTATTACTACATTAAGGATTTACTATGTTCAAACGCTGGCTGGCACGTTACCTACTAAAATGCCTATTTAAATAACAGCTATTGAAAGAATTTAGCTGTCTAATCTGGCTCTGGTTCATTAGTTCATTGAATACTACATTCATTAAGTCTTTTTACCTTCCCAAGTTGTGTTTTTGAAACAGGAAATTATGCTGTAAAAAAAACTTAAATCATGACTATATTATGTGTAGGTTTTCCTATCTCCTGGATATTATATACTTTAAAAGAAGTGTGATATAAGAAACATTTCTGAAGAAGTAGTATACTTAAGGTCACAGTTTTCATTAATCTGAGAAACATATAGATGTGATATTTAAAAGAATTAACAAAATTCAGTGAAACTTCTATTTCACATTTCATTGGGAACTACAAAAAATATAGAAAACGAGAATTTATCTCTTTTAAATGGCATGTTTGTATTTGTTGTAAATTGATAGATTCCCTTCCATATATATCTAAAGATCCAAAATCTCAGTGCCATAAATAACATGATTGAAGAATCATGTAACAGTGTGTATTTTAATATCAGATTTGTGTAGTGATTTAGAACAATAAATATCACAGAGAAAAACTTATCATAAACTAAGTGCAATAACAAAAGGAAACAGAAGCTTATGTACACATTACCAAGGTCTTCACAATAAATTAGAGCACACAGTTCCATCACAGCATATTTGTATACAAAGCTGCTAACGTGAACACTGAGGAATCTGCCGTGTAGGTCTTTAATCTTGATTTAATAAAGTTTTGTACAGTATCAAATAATATCAAAAGTCTAAAAAAACAATGAGTTTTTATATCATGTTTATAAATTATTGTTTATATACCATAAAAAAAACATAAGGTCAAAAGTGCAGTTTAAAAAAAAGTGAAAATTGTTATTCCTCATAAGAATTAGAAAAATGTATTGTCCCAAGTAAGAAGCAATCTAAAGGCTTATACAGTTTCTTAGGCATTTTCCTTTAGCTCCCATATAACCTTGCTTACCATACACCATGAGATAAACCAATACAAAGGGAGTGAAAGGATCTTTTTATAAAAATAATAGGAAACACAGATCTAATGATGAGAAACACTGGAAAGAAAATGTGATTATAGGCTTCCTCCCAAATGAGTTAAATGACTTTTTGCTCACAGGAATGAAATGGGCTACTGCTGAATGTGATGAAATTTGGGAAATTTCAAAGAATTTCTAAAAGTTTTAATCTTTTTCAAATTTTAGTCATAACTGGCAATGGGGCCTACATCCCAGGATTATGAAACTTTCTAGTATAATATACTAAGACAAAATATTACTTAAAGGTGCTAAATCATATCACAGAAAATAAGGACAAAGGATCCAGTAATTAAAAGACAGCAGTATAGAAACTAGTCAAGAAGAAACAGGTGGATGAAACACAACTCTGGGTCTTACCTGGCACTTACCACAGTAACTAGTAACATTTTGACAAATCCCAGAACAATGCCTATATCGAAATATGTGTGATACGTTAACTGTTTAATACTTATGTAAGAAACTGCAATGGTAAACTTACTGGTTTCTAAAACAATTTAAATTTAGAGGGAAGAAAATAAAAGGAATGCGAAGAAAAATCTTGCTTTTAAACTTATCATGGGACCAAAACACTGACAGAGCTGTGTCCGCCAGGAGCGCCTTCCTTTGCTGAGGCCCGCGGGCAGCTAGAGCCTGGGCGGCGCCGCTGCGCCTCCTCCTCATGCTGTGCGACTGGGCCTTTGTGTGTGTGACACTGAACAATAGATGCTTTTTTTTTTTTTTAACTGAATGGAGTTAAGTTCCTCGGTTGGGTTAACATATATAGACTGCCTGAGATAATAAAAACTTCACCATTACAATAGGTTAATGGGAAATGAAGGTCTTTCCAGTTTTGACAGGAGAAGAGGGCTGGCTGCTGAGAGCAGCATGGTGCTCTGAGGGCTGCGCCCGTACACACTTAATAATCAGGGTCACCTTCAGTAGAAGATTAGAAATCGATGGATATGGATGCTTGTGCAGAGTCTTCTCGCCCCCTGACATAAATCTCACAGGGGATCTCCTCCATTACTCTGTCTTCTAGGGCCTGTTCAGGGCACTCGTGCGCCTGTTTGAAAGTGTAGCTACTCTTTTTGAAGGTGCTATTAAATGTTTTCATTGGCTGTGGTTGTGCAAAATCATTTCGGAAGGGAAGTTCCATGGAACTGAGGTTGGTCCTGCTCTGTTTGACGCTGGGGGCCTGCGACCCGCAGTGGTGGTCGTGGATGCACCGGGAGGCAGTGGAGGAGCGCCGCGTCTTCTGGTAGTTGTCCAGCTCCTCCGACAGGTCGGCCAGGTCTGCAGAGATCTCTTTGTCTCTCAGTGAAAACAGTTCATAATGAGGAGGATCAAACACTTCTTGGAATCCAGTTTTATTAAAAGCAGTTTTGCAACCCATGACCTTTTTTCGAGGCTGCTTCACTTGCACTAAAATAGAAATAATGAGAAGGACCAAGACAATTCCTGACGTAATGCCAATAATTGTTCCGTGAGTTTTAGTGATTTGCTCAAATAGTCCTGCTTTTTTCTTTTCTGCAGAAAGAGAAAAGAAAACTATGAGACTTTTAAAATTCATTAGAGTCCGGTCACAAACTGGTAAAAGTATTTTTACGTAAAGCAGAACACTGGGTCAAATACAATACAGATAATGCAATTTTAAAGTAGGTTTTTAAGCAAACAAAATAGTCCTATGACTTCTAGTTAAACTAACCAATCATAATACAGCTAGATAGATTACAAAAAAAGAAAAGGACTTGGTTCTTTACTGAGAAGGCACATGAATGCATACAGTTTGCAAATCAAAGTAACACATGATTACAGAAAACACCAAAACAAAATACTCTCGTTCTTTCAAGTTCAGCTTTCTGCTCTGTGGTAGGTGTGGGTAAACCCACAGTATTTTTACTGCTGGCCTTAAGCAAGAGAGAACTTCTAAAATGATCTGACTAACCCACTCAGGTATGCTATCATGGTCTGTTTTTGAATGATCACCTGAAAATAACTTCATCTCAAGTACTTAAAATAGCCGTATCAGATTACATTAAACTTCCACTGAACTCTTGGGAGAATAAAACCTTACTACTGAAACAGAGATTTAATAATCAGTTTGTAGATATTCAATTAGTATTACCACAAGCCATATTTATCTTTCAGAGAGTATACACTGGAAATACAGCATAGGAAGTTTATGGAATAAAAAAAAAGTAGTCCTTATAATGAGTCTGTTTTTAAATTGTAAGACTGAATCTATCAGTTGATTTTTATTAAATAGCATTTCCATATAATTTAAAAATAACAAAACCCTAGGTTACATTCTAAATTATTTTGAGAATAAGGTACCTTTACAGCAGAAATGACTAAGAAAATAAGGGCAGGAAATACCATGACTTACTGTTGAACAATTTAAGACAAAAAACATAATCTTACAAAAATACTCTTGTTGAGAATAAGTATTTTTCTTTGCTTTTACCACATTCCAGAGGCCTATGATCCATTTAAGAGAACATTTTATATGTATTCATTCCTGCCAAAGCAGTTATACCAAGCACAGTTGTAGCAAAAGACATTTTACATTCTTCATGAAAGGCAATGGCCACTCTTCTCTAAAAAAGTTGGCCTTCACCAGTGGACTCACCTTTGCAGTGATTTTCATCCCAAGGGTACGCACAGTTCTGAACGCCATTACAGACTAAAGAGTTATTGATGCACATGTTGCTATGGCAAAAGAAAGTGCTGCCTGTACAGGGAGCTGTAGGAAAAAAGAAAACTTTACTGCTGAGAATAGAAAGCATACAGATGATAAATCTTGATTTATTTTACATTTACTCTTACAGAGTCAATATTTTACCTCAAAGGCCTTTCTATGAATCCACTCTGTACTATGCAAACAATAAGCTATCGTGTGATGCTGACTCATAAACTTGTACTTAGGCTGGGCACCAAAGATTGTTTTTAGCGTAATGACAGTATGAATATATGATCACCCCTTAGTGTCCGCAGGGGACTGGTTTCAGGACCCGCTGCAGGTACCAGAAGCGCAGATGCTTGGGTCCCGGAGTAGGATCTCTGTAGCAGAAGACCCTCATCTTCGGAGTCAGCCAAGTATGGGTCGTGTAACGCTGTCGTGTTATACCAGTTACAAGCAGATCTGGGCAGTTCTAACCCGATACTCAGGGATAAACTGTATTTCCCATGGTTCTTATAAAACTAGTATGTAGCCTGGTACACCTTTTCAGAATGTTACAAGAAAATGTTAGTGACGATGTGGAGACACTGGGACACTTGTGCACTGCTGGTAGGAATGTAAGGTGGTGTAGCGGCTATGGTAAATAGTACAGTGATTCCTCAAAAACTGATGTCCATTACCATAAGCTCTAGCAATTCCCCTTCTAGATACACGCTCACAAGCACTGAAGGCAGAAACTCGAACAGACGCTTGCTGTTCACAGCAGCATCATGTGCAAGAGCCAAAAAATGGAAGCAGCCCAAGTGTCTGTTGATGGATGAATGGATAATCACAATGTGCTTATACATCCAACGGAGTATTATGCAGCCTTAAAAGTCAGAATGAAATTCTGTTACATGCTACATCATGGATGAAACTTGACAACACTATGCTAAGTGAAATAAGCCAAGGCACTAAGGGACAAATATTGTATCATTTCATTTATATGAGATACTTAGAGTAGCCAAAATCATAGAGATAGAAAGTAGAACAGACATTATCAGGGAATGGTGTGAGAGAAAAAGGAGCAATTAGCATTTAATGGGTACACAGTTTCAATCTGAGACGATGAAAACGTTCTAGGCATGAAAGGTAGTGATGGCAATACAACACTGTGAATGTACCTAATGCCACTGAAGAACTATACACTTAAAAGTGGTTAAAATGGCACACTTCATGTTATGCTGATTTTACCACAAGAAAAAGGGAAAAAAACACTCTTTGAAATTAAAAAATTATTTTCAACAGTAAAGATAAAAGGAATATATACCATGTAATTTCATATTTTGTATAATTCTTAAAAAATGCTTAATGGTTTCAAAGCTCATCATAAGGACGATAAGGTATTAGTTACATAAATAAGCTGTTAGGTTGAGAACAGAAAAGCCCATGAAGATGTATGGTGGTATTTTATTCAAGTACAAAATTAGCTAGTGTACCCACTTCAGTTGTGTATATATCATAAAATTATATTACACAAATGTGTGCAGTTTAAAATATAACAAATGTCCTACAGAACAAATAGCATTTTTGAATTCCTCATTTCTAAAAACTGGAGTTTTGTTTACATATCATACCATAACTCTATTATATCCTACATTACTATATCCTATATTACTATATCGTATGTTGAATCTTAATTTTACTTATTTTATCCAGTTCACAAGTGGGGATACAGGGTGGAGAAGCTATTTTCAAGACAGGGTGAGTGAGGTTATAAACAACCCTGTGGATTCTAGGTATTCTGACTTTCTGAGTCAAACTATCAATAGCTCTTAAAGTTTATCAGCAGAATATTATGTGACCACACTTTGATGGCTCTTCAAAGCTTCAAAAGTGGCAAAAAGAGAGGTCTTCTGCTCAGTGTTTCTTATTGATTGAATGGTGAGTGAAAACACCCTTAGTTTTTACTGCAGAGTTCTTTATAACTGTTCTCCACATTATAATCTAAAGCAATTAGGAAGCAGCACTGGTATTGTCAGACTTCGTGGTGTAGAAATGTGAGCTATATTTATAATTACAAATGTATTAAGATTCATGGATTTTCAGTGAAGAAGCAAGGCTGTTTATAATGAGACTCAAAGTCTCAGTTATTGACAGGGGATGCTAATGACATGCTTCAATTTAAAACTATATAAAATGGCTATAAGGGACAAAGATAATAGCAAAAATACTGCCAGTTATGAACTGCTCTCTTCTTCTCGCCTGAGGACTTTCTACCTTCCCACTTTACTCACTCCTGGGTCATGGTGCGGGAAAGAAGGGGGGTTAGGATTTCAGCTCCCCTCTACTTCTAATGAGATGTGGCAATGATGCTGAAAGATGGTTCTATCCTTCAACTAAGCCTGCAGGGAGCCCGTAGGGCAGTATGTCACTGAAAATCACATTATGGATTTATTCTAACAAAAATATCTTCTGCTGCTTTCACAATTCAAGTCCTAGAAATTATTTTCCTAAAACCATTTCCTTTCTTAAAGGGTGAGGCATACATTAGTATTCAGTGCTTGCGAAGAAGTCAAATATATTCTGATTGCTATTCTGTATCATTCACTGCAGCCAAGTTATACTATTTTAGTCACATCTGCAATCTACAATGGGTATGATATGAAGTGAATCTCTCATGCAGAATTAGTTCATTTATATAAATCTCTTCAGAAATATTGTTTTAATGGATGAAATCATAATAAGTACAAATCATGAACAGCTTAGAGAAGAACAAAAGAAAGAGTTGAACAATCTGAATTAATGATGAGCATGTAAAAATGTACTGTTTGGAGCTCTCGAATGTGCTTATCAAAGGAGATTTTCAAACTGGGATTTTTGTTTTACAAAAATTTATGAAATTTTTTATTTTAATCACATTTTTTGGAGGGATGGTTTTCTCTTTGTTCTTGGGTAATAAAGCTAAATTTGGGATATGCAGCTAAGTTTACTGCAGCCTTCAGTTGGTCTGGCATTTAGTGATTAGGGTAAAGATACCACTTGCAAGAGGCTTTTCACGTTTATTTTTCAGGTTTGTACTAAAGAGAAATCGTTAGCGTTTTAGAGAATATAACTTAACTAAAACACATTACGGAAGAATTTTTCATGTAAGATTTAGATCACTCCTGCCCAAAATAAATATAATGTGAGCAAGTAGCCATAGGAAAGTCTTTAAAAAGGACCAGGTGCAATTAATTTTACTAACAGTTTATTTAACCTAATGTATCTGTGCAGAGAGAGTTAATACAGCAGGACCAAGGCTGCTCCTTCGGAAGGATCTGCGCGCAAGACTGGCTCTTGGCTGGCATCTGGGAACTTGGCTTTTCCCCTTTCCCTGACTGATAAGGGTGGTTCATGGTGCCAAGTTTGTGTTAACAGTGTCATTTATGCCAAATACTTGCTCTCCTTCTGTGAGTCTAAAATTTTGGTACATGCAAGGCTGAGAGTGCCTATGTGAACAGCCACCAATAAAAACCTTGGGCGCTGAGTCTCTAAATGGGCTTCTCTGGGCAGAAACACTGTACGTTACCACATTTTTCTTTTGCTGGAGAAATGAACCCCTCTACTGTGCCCCTCTTGGGTGGGGGGGAGAGCATAAGGAAGCCCGTGAAAGGATTTCTCCAGACTCAGACAGTCTTGTTCCCTTGCTAGTCCTCTCACTGTAATAATTTTCGCTGTGAGGATGAATGTGTTGGGTCCTAGCAAATCACTTGACATGCGGGTGGTGCTGAGGAGCCCTGAAATAATATCCGAAGTATTTTACCATGTAATCAATATAAAACATTATTAATGAGCTGTTTTACATTCTTTATTTCATACCAAATCTTTGAAAACTGGGATGTATTTTTATAACTAACTATAGTACATTTCAATAAAACTGGCCGCATTATAAGTGCTCACAAGCGACATGTGGCTGATAGACACTGTACTGGACAGCGGGTAAAGATATTGGGAGGAAGTGTACCAAAGAGAAAGTAAGAAGACTAAAAGGCTTTCTTGCTAACTACATCTTTGCATCAAGTACTGATTTGTACTTATGTGAAACAGCCTTTGTATAGTTGCTTTTTATTTCTCAAGTTCGAGAAGTTTTCAAATTAAAAAGTCTAGCAACAAACTGAGGTTACGTCCATAGGTCAACAGGAAGCACAGCCTACTTGTGGTGAATCCACTGCTGAACTCCTGGCCTTTCCCACTGCTTGAGGAACTCACTATACCCAGAATAACTCAATACTTTCTCCTCTTATCTGTTCAATTTTCATTTTCTAAGTGTGCCAGGCCCCAAACTGCCGGTACCTCTAACTCATTCTCTGTTACTTCACACCCTGATTAGTCACCAAGCCTGTGGAGTCTGTCTCCACAGCTCTTCTTTCTCCTCCCTGTCACAGCTCTGGTTCAGACCTTCCTGGTTTCCCACCTTGACTATGGAAGTGGCCTCCTAACTAGCCTCCATGCCCCAGTGAAAGCACAGCGCTGATCACATCTTTCTGTAGTATTAACACCTTTCACAACTCCCTGATGCCTGTACCATGAAGTCTCAATTGAAAAGTCTTTTTTAAAGTCTTTACTTGAAAGGTCTTCGAGTTCTAGCTTTAAGCTACCTTCCTGGCTCATTTCTCTCCGTTCTCTCTTCCACCACTTCTTGTGGTCCAAGTACCCCGATCTATTACCTTTGTTCATTCTATTGCCTGTCTGGAATTACAACCTCAATGAACATTTCTACCTTCTAAAATCTACCTACCCCAAAATCTACTTGCTCCATACTTGATGCTGCCCACTGTAAGTAACTTGGATATTTAATAAGAAGGCACTTTGTTTTCTGTCTCAAATGGTTATCGTCATAGTCAATGCTGTATTTGCCTCATTTGCATACATATCACCTCACCTAAGTGATTATAACACCCTTTAGGGCAGAGACTGTTTCATCCAGTTTTATATCTTCACAGCAAACACAGTACCTCATATGGTAAAAGTTAAATCAATAAATAAATGCAGGTTGGAAGGCTGGCTGGCTAAACTAACTTTATAACCCAACTGACCATCTG